CCTCCTCCTCCTCCTCCTGCTGCTCCTCCTCCTCCTCCTCGCAGCCTCACACACAGCCCCAGTGCAGCCTCAGTGCTCACCCGCCTGCCCCAGGGCTCACAAGCCTCCCTGAGATTAGGACGAGAAACTCTATTCTAAGGGACCGTTCCATACCGCCCCCGGGGCCGGCATGGCACCCTCAGAGCCATGGTCACCGCTGTCGATGGTGAATTAATGCCAGGAAAGCACATCGACCAGCCATCCCTGCTGGGGAGCACGAGGTGCCCAAGGGACCGCTTTCCCCGCCTGAGTCAGAGGAGAGATGCGTAGCCAAGGCCTCGTGCACCCTGCATGTCCCCTTTCAGTTCCGTACACTGAGCCCAACCATGCCGAGTGCACACCAGGTGTGTCCTACACATGGTTGCTCAGCCTTCCTCCGGCCCCTCTGCCCCGCCCCAGCCCTGCCTGGCTATTCCTATCTGGATGAGTCTTAAATGGTGCGTAAGCATCGTTTCTTTTTTGTTGTTGTTTGTTTTGGGGTTTTTTTTTTCCTTTCCATTATGTTGATTTTTCTCAAGTTGTCTGCTTCTTACCCTCACTAGAAGTCAGGGCCACCTCCTAGTGCATAGCGAGGGAGAGCAGCCAAGGGGCCAGCCCAGGCTAATGCTCCCGTTTCTCTCACCCATCAGCCAATTAATGCCGCTGCTCATTTTGCCTTGCAGCCTCTCCGGGGCGACGCTGAGCCAGGACGTGCTCAGAGCGGGAGGACAGGACCTCTGCTTGCTTCCCAATGCTGTGTTTGGACTTGCCGACTAACCCCAGAGCGACTGTGTTTTGTTTCAGGATGGCACACTGGCTGGCATCTCCTTTCCCACCTGTGGTGTCCTTGGGCATAGAGCCTGGCTGCTGAGCCACACAAAAGGGGCAGGCTCTTGGTGACGTCCCGTCTCACAGTCCAGGCTGCAGGGACCCTCCAGTGGCTTCCTCAGGCCTGAGAGGTCTTTGGGCTGCCTCTCTTGGCACACTGCAACCAGCAGTGACCAGCACCTTGGGGCCTTGCCTCGCTCCAATGTGCCGAGCGCTGGCCCCAGCCCCAGGCTAGATCAGGGTGGACGAGGGAAACTTTGAACTCTCACTGATGCCAAACTCTGCCATACGGCACAGAAGAGGGCCTGGTAGGCAAGAGAGCCTTCTTGGACCGGCTGAGGAGAGGAGAAGCCCTCGGGACAAGGAGGGTGAGGACAGACACAGATGTGAGCCAAGGATAGGGACAGGTGGCTGCCTCAGGGGTCGGTGTGAGCTAGAGCAGGCAGAGCTCCACCATCCCTGGCCCTGCGCTCCTAGGTTTGGTCTGAGCTGTGGGAGGGTGCCCTCCTGGGGGCAGGAGCACAGGAGGTTGCACCTTGAGGCCTCACAGAAGGGCGAAGCTCTGGGCATTCACTGCATGGGAGAAGGCCCCTTGAAAGCTGGGCGTTCTGGTCTACCCCTGACTGTCACTTGTCCTGGGACCTCAGGCCTCAGGTTTTCCTTCTCTGTAAATCAGGAGGTTGGGTGAAATGATGGCCGGGTTTGACACCCAAAGGTGACATCAGGGGATGGGAAGAGCCAGCCCAGAGAGGTTTCCCAAGTATAGACACCAGGGCATGAGGGCAAGGGTCGGAGGCTCACAGGGCGGTCAGGTCCACAAGCCAGGGCAAGGCAAGCTGGGGGTGGGTGAACAATGGAGCAGTTGGCGTGGTGGACTTTAGCAGCCTCAAGGACACGCAAGCCCCCCAGTTGCTGTTGCTGGCAGCCGAGCAGATGGGTGGATCTGAACCCAGCAGGGCCTGGGTTGGGAGTCCGGGCAGCTGAAGCCTGGTGTTAGTCTCTGGGGCACCCAGCAGGCTTCGTGCAGAGAGCTGCAGACCAAAGGCTCCTGGGAGGAAAGCAGACTTTACATGAAGATCATTTCCTTTCAGGCCATGTAAAACCACCAAGAATTTCACGTCCTCAGTGGTCAGAGCAGCTGCTTTTGTCACCACATTCGGCCCCCTTCTCGTCTGGGACTCTGGAGCCAAAATATCCCTGCAAGGGAGAAGGGGCCCAGCCTGGGTACCCGGTCCAGGGCCTCTTCCAAGAGGAGGGTTAGGGGACCATCGGTGGGACAAGGTCCTGGGTTTACATTTAGGAGCCAGCACTGACCTGCCCTGGGTGAGCAGTCGCATCCAGGTGACCCCAGCTCGGGTGGGACAGGCGCCTGGCACCCCAGCCCTGGGAGGACACTGACGCAGCACCAAGCCCAGGAAGGACAGTGCCTCCCCTGAGCCCCAGGGTGCACATGTGAGCAGCGGAGTCACCCGCTGTCCCATCACTCGGAGACAGGCAGACCCGGGCCAGCCGGGCCCACAGATCTCGGGGAGGCCACAGTCTGCGGGGAGCACTGTAGCAGAGCAGGGGCGGTGTGGGGCCCCCAGGAAGCTCTGCCCTTGCAGGCCAGGCACCCAGGCTGCCCATGAGAGGCCCCTGAAGTGGCTCCCTTCTCTTTTGATGGAGAAAAGGAACTGCAGGCCGTGGTGGGAAAGAGGAGTGCAAGATCGCAGGCCTGCAGGGCGATCGACTCAGTGTCACTGCAGAGTCAGGGGTAAGGATGAGGAGGGTGGATCGGGGTTGCAGAGAGAGGCAGGAGCTGGGTCCCGGCACTCTGCTTCTGCCTGGGTGTCTGGTCAGACTGTCCGGTGAGGCTGAGCTGGGGAGCTGGGTGTCAGTGTGGCCTCCTGCTCAGTGGCCACGTCCCTGTCAGCTCAGTCGCTGCCCGCCCAGCCCCACATCCGCAGTGAGGCCCCAGCGGCTCCCTCTCCAGTCCGCCTCTGTCTGACAAGGAGCCATGTGGAGCTGCCACCCTGTGGAAGGAGCGGGTACTGTTAGCAGCCCCAGTTTACGGAGGAGGAAATGGAGGCCAGCGGTGTTCAGGAGAACGCTCCGGGGTCAGTGGACCAAATGAAGTCCGGCTGCAAAGCTCACGCTGTTACTATCCACGCCACCCAGAGGACAAAACGCGGTTTTCATTTGTGCGCCGTGGGTGAGAGGAAAGTGAGACCTCCGAGCTTACTACGGAAACAGGGATGCAAGAACAAGGGATGCAGACTCTGCGTGTGCACGTGTGTGAGGAGAGCCCCTAGACAGCACCTACCCGCGGGTGTACTGGACACCCAGGAAGCCGTGGAGAAGAGCCGATGGGCTACAGGAGCTACCAAAGAGCTGGGAGGCTGTGGCCTGCCCCCCAGTGTCCCATCTGAGTCCCTGAAATGACAGCACCTTTGGGACAAGCAGCTGAGGCATTGTTGCCGGACACGGGTGTGTGTGTGTGTGTGTGTGTGTGCGTGTGCGCGCGCACGCACAGTGGCACACACAGCCCTCCCTCACCTGCACCAACCCGGGGTGATCTCCCGGCTGAGTTGCCTCGTGCCCTCAGTGGACAGGATGTTGATCCTGTCCTGGCCCAAGGAGAAGCTCCTTCACTTGTGCTCAGGGATAGCCAGATGCCACAGCAGACGCTGCCGCTGTGCAGTTGCTCCTGCTCCCTGCCAGCATTATCTGAGTGGGAGCCGTTCTTAGGAGGTAACAGCAGCACCCCGCTGCCCTCACCAGCACCAGGCGATGCACCCCCTGGGCTGGGCTGGGCTGTGAGAGAAATGCCCGGACATGGCACCTGCCTTCACCACACCAAAGGGACAGGGACCACGTCCGGTCCTCTCACTGAAATCCCAACTCTCAGAGGCCTTTGGGTATGCGTGTCACTTGGATTCTGGCTCCTTTCGTGCTGAATGAGAGTGGATGGACAAATGAATTGTTTTCTAAGATGATTTCCACTCAACCCCATGTGCAGGCCCTGAGCTCTTGTTCCCAGCCACGATGGACAAGCGAAGGTGGACACTGACATGGGGCTGCCTTACTGAGTGCCAGAGAGCCCCTAAGGCACCAGCCAAGAGGCACACTCTGCACATCCTTCCCCAAGAAGCGGACGGTGCTGTCTCTGGGGGAACAGACAGGGGTGGCTTGGAAACCAACCAACACGATGGGCAGTCACGTCTCTCCAGTGCTGGCAGGGTGACAGGAGCCAGACCAGTACCTCTCAAAAGATGGGGCAAGAGCTGCCTGCAGCGCAGGACCAGTGAGACCTGTGTCCTTGTGCCTGTGTCCTGGAACCAAGGGCATGGGGCAGGGTGGGAGTCACATGAGAAGGGCAGGACAGGGTGCTGGCCATGGTCATCGCCTGCCCATCCCTGTCCTCACCCACCGCCAACACCCTCCAGGCTCCCTCCAGTGGCCTCAGACAGTGCTCTGCTCCAGTGGTGAAATACGAGTTTCTGACCACAGTAGGGAGAGAGCGGGGTGAGAGAGCAATGCTCAGAGGAGCCCACCAATAATGGTGGGGCTTCCAACATCCTACTGATTGATTGGGCCTAGGTATTCCTGACCCATCCACAGGCCCAGTGCTGCTGAGCAGGAGTTATGCCAGGAGTCTCAGCCCTTCTGGGCCAGGAAGAAGGCAACTCTAGGAAGTTCTAGTCCAGACAGAGCTGGGCTGAAGCTCCCCATTTCCACCCCTAAGGTCAAGATGACAAAGGCTGCTGCTGTCTGTTCCTGCCCTGCTGTGCAGCCCTCCACAACCACATCAGGAAGGCCCAGCAGCTCCCTACAGCACCTCATGGGGCTGAGTGCCACAGGACATTTGGACCCCAAGAACCAGCTGGAGACAGGATGGTCATGCGGTTCCGTATCAGTCATCAGTGCCACCCATCAAGGGACCTCTGCTTAGAGGGCAGACGCCTACAGAATGTGAAGTTCAGTCCTGAGGCTGGATGGAGTCCCTGCTAGCCTCCCTCAGCCTTCACAACACTGCTGGCCACACTCTGCACCTGTGTGGACCAGAGATGTGTGCCGGAGAGATGACAAACCTCGCAGTCCAGACCGTGCCTCTGCCAGACCTTGAACTTAGCCACCAACAAAGCCTCCCTCACACTCCCAAGGTTCCTGTGTGGCCAAGTAGGACGTTCTGCTCTTCCAGCCCCAGACACCTGCAGACTCCCAGCTGATCATCGCAGTGACCCCCTCCACCCCAGGACAGCAGAGCCACAGCCATGCATCCTATGGCCGTGGCACCCCCACCTCAACAGCAAAGCTCTTTCGCCTCTGCAGCCCCCACATAATCCCAGGGTTCCTCAGCTGTGCAGGTGTGCCTGCCCCAGGACCTTGCCCTGGCCGACTCTGGATGAGACAGGCAGCATCACTTGACCATGGGTTCTGTCTTCCCAGTGCCCTCGTCACTGGACCAGCCAGGGCCACACACTTTTCAGTGATGTGTGTGTACGTAAAGGCATGTGTGTCCTGGAATCCCACCTCAGCTCTTCACTGGCATGAGCTCCGCAGCCTGAGGACTCATGGGACACAGCTGGACGGGTTAGTGGTGGAGACAGGGACTTGGGAGAAGGCCTAGGTACTCAGCCAGCCTTGTCCTCATCAGTCCTGTTGGACAGTGGCCCAACATAACCTCCACAAGGCACAACGGGCATGATGACGAAAGGCTGTGAAAGAACGAAGGGAGAGGCAGCAGGGATTAGGAGCAAGAAGTTGACCAGATGGCCCCAAGGCCTGGGCTAGGGTAGTCGGATTTCTGTGATCTCAAGTGGGCACCTAATGAACAATGTTTACACCTGACAAAGCTCCCCCAGCTGGGAAAACATCCCAACAGCAGAAGATTAGGTGCATTTGGTCACTTTAGGAGCCATTGTGGCGGTGGTGGGGTTTCTGCGAAGACCTGTGTGGTCTGTACCTGTTGTTCCAGCTCCCAGACTTGCCTAGGGCTGGGAAGCAGAAGGCCCCTCAGGGCCCCCAGTGAGGTGAGCTGATCTGTGGGAAGGGCCCAGCGTGGCACCCCTGGGGGGGGTTTCCAGGACACTGGCTCAGGCTCCAGGGTTGCAGGATAAGGTGCACTCTGCCAGGCTGCGTGTAGGTTTTAAAAGCCCTGACAGCAGGGAATGTTGCTGTAGCGGACCTGTAGGTATTGTCGTGTAGAACAGTGTCTCGGGAAAGGCACTTTGCAGCCTCTGCCACATCAATCTCCATGAACTCTAGGCCTCGTCCAGTTCAATCCTCTTGCTTTGCAGAACAGACTGGGGCCTGAGAGGCCTAGGCTGCCTGCCTGTCGGTGGCAAACCTGGGCACCAGGTCCCTTTGCTCCTTGCCAGTGCTCTGTCCCTCACCCAGCCGGCCTTTCCCTCTGTGGCTGGCCTGCCCTCTTGGCCAGACACCGCTCCACCCCTACACCAGCCACGGATCCCCCCAGGACCAGTCACAAGCATCTTGACTGCTGGTCTTCTTGGAAGTGAGTGGCTGCAGAGCAGGGCCAGGGCCGAGTTCGAAAGCGGGCTCAGTGGGAGTGGTCCAGACGGGGTGGCCCAGCCATGGCTTCTGAGAAGTCCGCCTCCTGCCTAACTCTCTGGGTGATCTTCCTTCTGGCCACACTTCCGTATCGTGTTGGTTTTTGCTTCATCTTATCTGTTTCCTTCCAGGTCCAGCTTTAGGGCGCGGCTGCCAGGCCTTAGGAGCCCTTGCAATGGTTTTGTATTTCTGTAGACACCAGATATAAAAAAATTGATATATTTGTGTCCCTCCCCTGCTCCCCCAGTTCACAAGCCCGACGCACACTCTACACGCAGGCCACTTGACCTCTGACCCCGTGTTCCATGTGGCAGGAGGGCCCCGCCCCGGGCCAGGCCCCAGATCATGGCTGCTGGCTGTCTGTGGCGGAAGTCCTTGGTTGTTCCCCTCCCCCTCCCAGCTCTAACCATTCTGTCCGTCTATCTCGTCTCGTCTTCAGTTTCAAAGCAATGTCATGAAGGGCTTCCTTTCCATGCCTAAAAGGAAACAATATGCTTTTGGAAAGTGGTAGGGATGGGGGTCCTTCCGGGTCTCTAGTGGGCGCTCAGAGGAAGCCTCCGGATTGGCTGGAATGCCCGCCAATCAGGAGCCTCCCGAGCTTTCCGCTTCCGGAGCATCTGCTGCCAGAGGCAGCGGGCGAGGCCTGCGTGGGGCCTCGGGCCCAAATTGGTGCTGACGTCATATTGTTTCCCTTTGAGGCCAGTCCTGGTCCTCGTCCCCATCCACAGCTCATGCTTTTTTATTTGCATCTTTTTTTGCATGGACATGCCGAGTAGATAAGCAGGGTTTCTGTTCTTTTGGGCGCCTCTGGTCAGACTCTTCTCTTTCAGATCCCGTGTCAGGTCACTAGGTTCAGGTGTGTCATTGCTGTGTTCTTTGAGTCCTAAACAAAGGGCGTGACCGAGGTGTACAGGGAGATCTGGCCCTGTGAGCACGCAGCGCAGTGGCCGCAGGGGTGGCAGGTGAGGACACCCTGGTTTCTGTGCCTAGGTCCATGCAGGATGGCAGCCAGGGCAGCCGGGAGAAGCTGGAGCTGGTGCTGTCTAATCTGCAGGCCGATGTGCTGGAGCTGCTGTTGGAGTTCGTCTACACCGGCTCCCTGGTCATCGACTCGGCCAATGCCAAGACGCTGCTGGAAGCAGCCAGCAAGTTCCAGTTCCACACCTTTTGCAAAGTCTGTGTGTCTTTTCTCGGTAAGACTGCCAGGAGCCCATATGTCATGGGGGTGGGGTGCAGATGTGTAAAAAACTCCAAGCCAGAGGGGACTGAGAGGGGAGAGCAGTGCGGGTCCCCACCCTGCAGTAACGGACCAAACCCAACACCATACTGTTCCCACATGGGTGTTTGGATGTTCCGATACAGAGACCTGGCCTGAGGGGACACAGCCCCTTCCCCAGCAGTGGAAGAGCATCCTGTGGCCCAGCAGGTCCTTCAAAGCCAATGCGCTGTGCAGCTGTGCCAGAGGTCTCTAGAGCGGGGCCTGGCCTCACTGTCCTGGCCACTAAGCCCTGGATGAAGCAGCAGCATACTTGTTCCCCCTGGAACTGGTGTGGGTCAGGCTCATGGATAGGCCTGGACACCTGAGCCATCCTTGGATGCCCAGAGCTGCTGCCCAGGCTCCCAGGCCAGAGCAGGCTCACTGCCGGGAGAGAGGGACAAGGACAAGCACCACAAAAAGCTTGCTACATGTGTTGCGGCATGCAGAGAGAGAAGGCTAGGATCTGGGCCCAGTGGGGCAGATCGGGTAAGGACAGTTAGGGGCCTCCTGGGACCCAGATATGTCTAGGCTGGAGGAGCCATTAGCCTGATCTCAGGGGGGCAGGCCAGGTCCTGGGGGTCAGGCCAGGGCCTTGAGGCACACAGCATGGTGTGTGAGGGTGCCATCAATGATGTGGCTTGAGGGAGCCCATGGCCTCAGGTGTCTTGATGGTCACAGAAGACACTGTAAGCCTCGGTGTGGCTCCCTCACCTAGCCCAGGCCTGGGTGCTGAGGCTCCCCTGGACCTTGCTGCACAGGTGGAGAAGCGCAACTCCCACCTCACAGCCTTGGTGCTTCTGCCAGGGCCTCCAGGCACAGAGGGAAGGCACAGGGAAACCTGGGAAGTGGGCCTAAGAGACACAGGAAGGGGGCTGATAGGTACCATGGTCTTAAGGACATGGGCTCAGAGGGGATCCAGTGATGGTTCCTGGAACAAGAGGAGATGCTTCCAGGGCGCTTGGGTTACTGGATCTGCACTCTCACCCCCAGAGAAGCAGCTGACCGCCAGCAACTGCCTGGGCGTGCTGGCCATGGCCGAGGCCATGCAGTGCAGCGAGCTCTACCACATGGCCAAGGCCTTCGCGCTGCAGATCTTCCCAGAGGTGGCAGCCCAGGAGGAGATCCTCAGCATCTCTAAGGACGACTTCATTGCCTACGTCTCTAATGACAGCCTCAACACCAAGGCCGAGGAGCTGGTGTACGAGACAGTCATCAAGTGGATCAAGAAAGACCCTGCATCGCGGGCACAGGTAGGGCCCACCTGTCCCCACCCCTTCTGTCTGGGTTCAGGGGACCCTGCAGTGGTGGGGTCTGCAGCAAAGATCAAGGAAGGTGAATGGGCAGGGAAGCCAGCCCTGCCCCTCTGCACACAGTCACAGAGAGGAAGAGGGCATAGGGGTGAACATCAGTCACCAGAGGGCCCTCCGGAGCTGCCTTCCACCTTGCAGAAGACCTAAGCTGACCAAGGGGCTGCAGGGCCTGGGTGCACTCTCCCTACAGGGAGAGGTGGGTACCTGACAAGGAGCTTAGGGCTCTCAGGAGCTCAGACCCACAGGAGGAGCCCCCACCATGCTGTGGCTGTCGAGGAGGTGGGAAGCACTTGGGAGGACCAAATGGAGCCACTGCACCCCTACAGGAGAGAACGTGAGGTCCTTGAAAGGGATGGCTGGAGGAACCAAAGCCAGCATCCAGGGAGGAAGGGAAGGACAGCAGCGCTCCCAGAGAAGTGCCCAAGTCACAGGGAGCCACTGGGTCCGCACCCAGTCCAGGAAGCCCTGGTCGGAAGCTCTGCTCAGAAGGCATTGGCCTTGGTTCTCACAGCAAGGAGCCCAGGAGTCAGTGCATCTGCAGGAAGCTCTCAGGAGGGCTCCAAATGCATCCAGGAACAGAGAAAGGGAACACAGCCCAGAAGTCAGGGCTCAAGCAGGAGGAACAGCTTCAGGGAAGCCAGACCCCAAATGAGCTGAGGCCAGTGACGTGGGTGAGAGGGCTGTCACATTTCATTGGGAGCAAAGAGGGAGCAAGGTCAAGAGGGACAGACTGGTACTAGGATCAGTGGAATTGGGTGGATGCTGGGTAGATGGATCTCCCTGAACCCAGCCACTGAGCCCAGGAGAAGGTGGGGAGGAACAAGATTTCTTTGCAGAGAATAAAGTTAGGTTGGGCAGTTTATAACAGTAGTACCACAGTTCACTGCAGCTCCCAAATCTGTGACCCAGCCCAGGGCTCCAGATCTCTGTCTTCACTCACATGCCAGGCATTTCCAGCAGTGTCCCAGGTCTGTCTCATGTATGAGGCCCAGAGCCCACTCTTTTTCCTGTGTTCCTCATTTCAGGCCAAGACAGAGCCAGCGTCCCTCCCCCAGTGCCCATGCAGTGGCCACGGTGCTCATTTCTGCCTCCTTCCTTCTCCTCATATGGGCCTCTCCCCACTTCCAGCCCACTGTACCAGGATCACTGCCATTGCCTCCTTGGTAGTTTCCTTGCCATCCGTCTTGCTGCCTCTGAATCCATTTTTCAGGCTATGGCCTGAATACTCTTTCTAAAGAGCGAATCGGATCATGTCAGCACTCTGCTTAAAGAAGTCCTTTATTAGTCCCCACATCATCTTGCAGAAGCTACACAGTCCTGGCCAGTGAGTTAGAAGGTCAGCCAGACCTCCCTCTGCCATCCAATCTCTGACTTCACTGCTCCTGTCAGCTGGTTGCCTCCTCCAAAAACCTTTCGTAACCAGCAAGCAGCCTCCCCGTATAGTTCCCCACATGCACATTCCCTTCCACTCTCCCACACCTCTGCCATCCCTGCACACCCAGCTGAGATATGTGCTCTGTGACACCAGTCACTCCTGTTTCTGCTCCCATTAAACTCTGGACATCTAGGGCCAGGGATTTTACTTAGTGCCACACCTGCCTCGCAAGCACAAGGTCCTGAGTTTGATTCCTGGTACCAAAAAAAACAAAAACTGGACATCTTGAGATCAGAGAGGGGTCCTATAGGTCCATGCCCCTAGTAATGAGCTAACACATAGCCAGCAGGTGTTCGCTCAGTGCCACCAAACTGGAGTGATGAGCACAGCTTGCCAGAAAGCAGGAGAGATTCAGGTGCACCCATGAAAAGCCTTCAGGGCAGGGCAGTAGGGTCCGGGCACCCTGGGAGATAAGGTGACACCCCAAAGGGAGTTGTGGCATTAGGAAGAGGCAGGCTTCACAGTCACCTCACAGCTGCTGTCTCTGAGCTCTTCCAGGGCCTCCCGCCTCTAGGGAACAGGGGAAGGGGACGTTACCAGAAACCCTGCAGTGGCCCCTGGTCTTCTGTGAGCCAGAACAGCACAAGGTGAATTAAAGAATAAAGACAGAAAATGAGGCTTAGAGAAGAAGCTGAGCTTTGGTCCTGATCAATGCTGCTCTGGGCAACAAAAACGAAAGCACCCAGAGCTTTTTATTGAGTTTATAGGGAGTAGTAGATGACTCAGTGGGAGACAATAATCCTAAATTGACGAGGATCTTATTATTGGAGGAAGTATCAGATGACTCGGAGGGTGGTTGGTAATCCTGTGACCCTGAGGCTCTTATGCTAATGAGTTTAAATTGATTAGGAATGGTAGGATAAGCAAAGAGCAAAGATGTTCTTACAGGGCTGGGGATTTAGCTCAGTGGTTCCAGTGCCTGCCTCACAAGTGCAAGGTCCAAGTTCAAACCCTGATACCAAAAAAAAAAAGACATTCTTAGAACAGTAGGTGGGATGAGTTAAGCTGATAAGGAATTTGTCCTTCCCCAGATGAGACCTTTCTCTTACTACTTGGTTCTCAAGGAACTAGAATGTCTTTAGTGATATAATCTTGACCAGTGAGGTCTTAGCCTTGACCAGAGGCAAAAATGGAGTTAAATTTCAGTGTGTCGTAACAACTCTGTAGGCAAGAAGACTGGGCCTAATCATAATTGTAAAATGAGTTTCCTCAAAAATTATGTAGAATGGCTCCTGACACCTGCCTGTGCCTGCGTTGCTGCCCCACTCACCTCTTGGAGGCTCATGCCCTCCAGTTCAGTCCCACCCACCCCAGCAGCCTGGCACAGAGCAGGGCCCATGACCCGGGTGGGCCTGAGGTACTGGTGGGGACTGGACAGTCCACCCTGAGCCCCTTCCTGCTCTCCTTGCCTCTCTGGCTAGGCCAGGCTGGGCAGTGTCTGCACGTCCAAGCCATACACAAAGCCGAATTACCTGAGGCTGGGCAGCCCCCACCTCTTTCCTTTTTGAGGCCACACAGGAGCTGGCTCCTTCCTTGGAGTCTAAGGCTCTGCATCCCTCTCCCACAGCATGCAGCTGAGCTCCTGGCTGTGGTCCGCCTTCCCTTCATCCACCCCAGCTACCTGCTCAACGTCGTGGACAATGAGGAGCTAATCAAGTCGTCAGAGGCATGTCGGGACCTGGTCAACGAAGCCAAACGCTACCACATGCTGCCCCATGCCCGCCAGGAGATGCAAACGCCCCGAACCCGGCCCCGCCTCTCGGCAGGTATTGAGGGGCAAGCCCGAACCCTTGCTCTGCAGGTGCCAGGGTCACCTTGGCTGGGGGTGGTCCCTCAGATGTCACGATGTCAGGTGTGTCCCAAGAGTGCCTGTCTGTGTCCCTGCAGGTGTGGCCGAGGTCATCGTTCTGGTTGGGGGTCGTCAGATGGTGGGGATGACCCAGCGCTCGCTGGTGGCTGTCACTTGCTGGAACCCGCAGAACAACAAGTGGTACCCCTTGGCCTCGCTGCCTTTCTATGACCGCGAGTTCTTCAGCGTAGTGAGTGCTGGGGACAACATCTACCTCTCAGGTGAGGCCCCTCGGGGCTGGGTGGGGATGTGTATGGGGCTTCCCAGGGGCTCTGCCCACATGGCTGGCCAGAAGGAAGCCAGGACCAGGACGTCTGCTTTGCAGACAAAGCCGTCTTCTGACCTGGGGCTGGGCCTGCCCCCTCAGGCCCTTCTTCAGCCCATCTGTTCTCTGTGCCCCCAAACTGCCCACAGGTGGGATGGAATCGGGGGTGACGCTGGCCGATGTCTGGTGCTACATGTCCCTGCTGGATAACTGGAACCTGGTCTCCAGAATGACGGTCCCACGCTGTCGGCACAACAGCCTGGTCTACGACGGGAAGATTTACACCCTCGGAGGACTTGGTGTGGCGGGCAACGTGGACCATGTGGAGAGGTGAGGAGCCCATAGTGCTTGGGGAATCTTTTCGTGTTCACCAAAAGCTGAGATCGCATCGGTCCTCCTACGGCACGCTCTCGGTGTCCGTGGCCTGGATGGTGTAAAGTCCGAGGTGTGCCAAGCTCCTCTGACACGGCAGCAGGAGGGACCACAGGACGTGAGCCTTCCCCGGGCACTAGGTGGGGCACGTGTGTCAGCACCCCACTTCTGTGTCAGACAAGACAGAGGCCCAAGAGCCTGTCGCAGAAAGGCACGGGGGTGCGGGGTGGGGCCATGTCTGCTAGTAGAAGCCAAGAGGCTTGCTGGGATTCTGGAGCAAAGCTAGAACCCATGGCCAAAATGTGGCCCATGCCAGGGGCCGTGTCTTCTTGTCCCTACCAAGCAGAGGGTTACATGCCAGGGACCTCCTTCCCCCGCTCCATGTCCCATATCCCAGGAAATCTGTGATAATGCAGCGGAGGTTCACCCCTCACTACTAAGCACTGTGCGGACACAGGCTGGCCATCTGGAATTTTCCAGAAGGAAATTTAAGTCCAGGAATCCAAGACTCACATGTGTTAGCCTGCCCTCTGCTGGAGGTGGAAGCTGCTTCCTCCCCATGGCCACAGTGGACTCCAAGTCAAGCTAGGCCTTCGGCTAGGGACTGGGGTAGGCACTTCCCACGGGGACACACTGCGATCCTTTGCTCTGAGCCGGGAAGCTGCTTCCTGGGACACCTGGGGAGAGCCACAGAAACCCACCCACATCGGTGGGGAAAGCTCCATGATGTAGCAGGATGACAAGGCTCCAGTCCTGCTTTCAGAGCAGTTAGTGCCCAGACAGTGAGGAGTCCGATTACAGCCCAGCTCACACCCAAGGTCACCAGAGCCTTCTTCCCATGCCCTTGCTGCACCTGGCCCGCCCCTCAGCCGCCACCGGAAAGCACACCTTCCCCCGTGCACCCTGCCACACAGTCACCCGTACCCACCCCGCGGCCGATTCCGACCTGTGACAAATGTTACAGCAGTGATGGTTTCAGAGTGAGACAGGCTCTGAATGTTCACTGTGGGCTTTTAACTCCCCCAAGTGGAGCCCAGAGGTGGCTGTGTAACAACATTTCATCACATATTGATTTGGAGATAATCGGGAATGCCTGCGTGATTGCTCGGGTGTTAGCACTGCGGCAGGGCCCGGCCTGCGGTGTGACCTGCTGTGGGGCCGTGCATGCTCCACGCCTTCCAGGAGCAGCTTCCAGTCACTCGCCACCCAATAATAAACACGTGAGAACGGAGACGTTTTCTGTGTAGGAGTAAACTGAGCTGGATCTGTCATCCTGTCTTGCTTTTGTCAGCTACTTTTAATCTCCTAAGACACTGATTACTCATTTTGCAAACTTGTTGATAAGTGTGAGGATTTGTTTGTGGATAAAATGCAGTAACTCCGAGGTTGGCTTTCCTGGGCCTGCGCAGTTCTGGGGTCGCCTGCCCTGGGCTCCCCGTGGGACTCAGCTTCCTGCTGGCTGGCACCCCGGGGGAGACGGAGGAACAGGCCAGGCAGCTACAACTCCAACTCCTGGGGTCCCAGAGCCCTGCCCTGGCCCACAGGGACCCGTCGGGCATGGGGACACCCCCACTTCCCAGAAGCAGAGCCCCTTTGGTAGGGCCGTCTCTGAGCCCATGGTGGCAGGGCGACAGGAAGGTCAGCGGGATGGGTGCAGACACAAGGGTGCTTTATTTGCCAGGAAGCACTAATGGTACAAATCGCTATTATATTGGTAATGAATGAAGTATATGGTGCATTATAATTATATTACATTACTGTATTACAGGAATAGAGCAAGATCTTATAATTATAGATTAAAACAACAGTGGTGTAGACAAACCTGTATTATATCATTATATAAATAACTGGGTCTAATATTTTATAGTAATATATTGCAGGAGCTGTGCTTACTGGGTAAATGATAGCAGAGCGCCTCACTTGGCGGGGTCATTTGCATGTCATTAGCATATCCTTCTCAAGCAGGAAACTGACAGATTGAGCTGGGGGAGGGCCCTGGCTTGGCAGTCAGCCACCTGGAATAACAAGCTCTCAGGAAATTTGTGTTTGGCGGAATGTGCCATCATACCAAAAGACTGAGGACTAACAGCCACATAATCTTCCTCCGTCTCCAGCTCCTTCTGCAGGAGCGCCTTGGATCTCTGCCATAGTGACTACAAAAGCAGATATCTGAACTTCCGACACTGTCCGAACGGACATCAGCCACGCGTCAGCCCCTGCCCCCCTCACCTCAAACCCAAGGCCCCTCCTGGCCGCCGGCTGGACTCCAGTGCGGCTGCTCCCAGCACCTGCCTCCTGCCCCTCTCCTGTGTTGTCTGGAGCTTCTCCCAGTGCACCTCTGTCCTCTCTCCTCCCCGCCTCGTCCCCCACGCCCACCTAGGGGCTGCTCAGGGAATCCCACTGTCTGCAGACCGGGTCCACTACACACCCAAACCGGCCCTCCCGTCCTAAGTGCTGCACGGCGGCCTTCTCAGGGTCCCCTCACGCGGGAGCAGGAATTTCTCTTCCTCACCAGTCCCTCTGAGGCTTCCCACAGACTCCACCGCTTGGGCCAGGCGACTTCTGCTTCCCGTCCATGCCCTGCACTGCTCTCCCGCCTTCCTATTCAGACTCAGGTTGTGTCCACCGTCTGTCAGGGGACTTAGCATATCGGCACCATCCTGCCTTTTTTTCCCAGGATGGGGGTCTCCCACAGGCTATCGTCGAACTCCCGGGCTCACGCAATCCTCCTGACTCAGCCCGAGTACTGTGGCACTCCGCTTCCCCTCTCTTTCTACCCAGATGCCCCTTATATGCCTGGAAGACAGGTACCCAGATCCAATCAGCTTCCGTATATAAAACGTCATATGCCGGGTGTGGTGCACGCCTGTAATCTAGCGCTCTGGGAGGCTGGGGCTGGCGGTTCCAGAGTTGGAGCCCAAACTTGGCAATTTAGCAAAACCTTATCTCAAAAACTAAAAAAGAGCAGGAGTTGTAGCAGTGCTACGGCCCAGGGTACAATCCTAGCAAATAGTCCTCATACCGTGTTGTTTAGGGATTGATGGCCAGACCTCTCTACGTGTTCGGCATGGACGCACTGCCCGGTATCTTCTGTCTGCAGTTGGTTAAATCCACAGATGTGGAACATGTGGAGGTGAAGGGCTGACCTCATACCCAGCCTCCCCGGCCAGTGTGAGAAACCCACCACCACCACCTCCCCGTTAAGACGCAGCCATGCGCTGGGGCTGGCTCTCACTCGCTGGTGACAGCCAGTTCATTTTGGGAATCGCAGGCCAGGTACCAACCACAGCTCTGACTGAAAGTTAAATCGTCCGCTCACAGTGACAAATGCTCAAAACAGAGGTAACTCCTGCTCCAGGCTGTCGCCTTCCTTTGCCCTGGGAGCGCGGCTGTGGGCTGTACCCCACTGCGATGCCCCTCTGTGCCTCAGCCAGGTCCGTCTTTGCGCCTGTGAACCCACAGCTGACTGTTCAGCCCAGACCCACGCACTGCCTCCCCTCCCCGCTGCACACGCCTGGCAGGTCCTTTAAACTCCTGGCTGGAGCTGCAGTCACTGTCCTCCCCAGCCTCGGCGCCCTGTCCGTAGCAATGCCGCCTCCAGCCGGTCTCCTGCGTCGTCCTGGGCAGCTCTGTCCCCCTCAGCTCCAGCACCCAGCAGTGGCTGGACCCCAAGCCACTGCCGATCCCTCCTCCGACTTCCGGTGACAGACTGACTTGTCTCCCTGCCTCCTCCCAGCCACCCTGCTCCTGCTGTCACCACAACCCCTGGCTTTGATTGTGTCTTTTCCCTGCTCAGACCTTTAGGGTTCCCCCACTGCCCTGTACCCGAAGTCCCATTCTCTGAGCGGGGCACAGTGGCCTCCTACCCCAGCCTCTGGCCTCACCAAAGTGTTCTAACTACACTCACACCTGTCCCTTCTTGCAGTACTCTTCCCGAGCACCCTGGCACCCACCCGTCTTCCCCTCCTGTAGCCCACGCCCACCTCTGGGCCGGGCCCAGGACTGCTCTCCTAGGAAGCCCACCCTGCCACGGGAGCAGGCTGGGGCCTGTTGCCTGCACTCTTGTCCCCCTTGGTGTCACCCCACTTCCACCCTACATAGTAACCGATTCCTGAGCTCCAGGGAGCACTGGTGCAGGAAGGAGGCCCACTGGCCCTGAGGCTGGGCTCCAGGGGAGCCTGTGGGTCAGCCCAGCATCCCCCTGTGGGCTCAGGAAGCAGGTGGCTCTGCCCCTGCTCAAGACCCCACTCCTCCCTTGCAGGTACGACACCATCACCAACCAGTGGGAGGCAGTGGCCCCCCTGCCCAAGGCAGTGCACTCGGCAGCAGCCACCGTGTGTGGCGGCAAGATCTATGTGTTCGGTGGGGTGAATGAGGCGGGCCGAGCCGCGGGCGTCCTCCAGTCCTACGTGCCTCAGACCAACACGTGGAGCTTCATCGAGTCCCCGATGATCGGTGAGGACCAATGGCCGCCTCAGCCTGGGCAATTCAGTCTCCACACCCCAGATCAGAGCCTGGCTGAGCAGGCTGGGGTGCAGAGCAGAAGGAAGGGCAGGCTGATCACAGTTCCAGGGAGCCCTGCCCTTGCCTGTCCTCAGGCCCGGGAGCGACGTGGAGCTCTTTCCAGCTCCCAGCGTAGAGAGTGTGGGAAAGGGGAGGGCAGACCGGGCTCACAGCCTTGACCCGCCTGCCCTGCCATCCTCACAGACAACAAGTACGCGCCTGCGGTCACTCTCAACGGCTTCGTGTTCATCCTGGGCGGGGCCTATGCCAGAGCCACCACCATCTATGATCCTGACAAAGGAAACATCAAGGCAGGCCCAAACATGAATCACTCCCGCCAGTTTTGCAGGTGAGGGGCTGTGGGAGGGGTGGGGGACCCCTGGGGAGGTGTGATCACACAAACGGGAGTAGGGCGGGAGCAGAGGGGGGAATGCAGTGGCTCTGGGGGCCTCGAGGCCACGTGTGGCCATGAGGTAAGGGCAGCTCCCACCCAACCCTGTGGCTTCCTGGGGGATGCTCAGGTCACCATGGCTCTTGGCCCCAGTGGACCCCTACTTCTAGTACCTTGGACAGATAACTTCCCCGCTCCGGGCAGGTTCTACCTGTGAAACCTTGGCCCAGGGAACTGCCGGGTCCTTGCTGGCGTGGAGTCTGGCTCTCCAGCTGGCCTCTTGTGGACATTGTCTCATGGTGGCAGCATGCAGAGCACAGTCTGACTACACGTCCAGGGAGCCCATTGTGGGGGCTCAGACCTCATTTGAAATGAAAAGGGAAAGAAACCCTGAATGTCAGGGTAGATTTACACTATGTCTGGCAAGGAAAGCAGGGAAAAGCTTGGCCACAGAGGGAAGGAGGTGAGGGCCCTGGGTGGCAGGGACTGCGAAAGAGCTTGCTGGAAGCTTTGGCGTCTCCTGAAAAGTCAGGACAGATGTTTTCTAGATGTGCGCACGTCAGTAACAGGTGGGGCCTTTGAAACCGATGTGTCCAATTCCAGAGTTAGCTGAGAAGAAATGGCCCACAGCTGAAACAGAAGAGAGGTCGGCGCTGGGGCCGGGCCTGGCTGCCAGTGTGAGGGGTGACTGCCGTCACCCAGGGAGCGAGTGCAGAGGGCGTGAGTGGGGCGACAGGAATAAGCCAGCGAGGCCCGCGGGAAGGGTTCAGACTCAGCCGTCGGGCATCCCAAAGAGCGTGCACCGGGACGACAGCAGCCGAGGTCAGACGTGCAGGGGAAGGATGCTCAGTGGGCCAGCGGGTGCCCAGTCAGATCAGGCCCTTACTCTGCCGCACTGTGAGCCACGTCCCAGTGTGATTCGAGTAGAATGCAGGCTCCGTTTGTACTGCGCAGAAAGACAACATGGTCAGGGGCCTGTGCCTGGTGACCGCACAAGAGGTGGCTGTTCTGCTGGTGTCGCTCGTCTGTCGGCGGGGCTGAAAGCTGGCAGTCAGTGGTCCTGTGCAGCCTCCGACAGCACTGTCCCAGTTGCCCCTGGAGGATGGATGTTCTTGGTCTGGGTGAGGGGGTGCATGCGGTGTGGGGACCCCGATTCCAGGGCCACGTGAGGTTTGGGGCCTAAATCTCGCCCGCTTTCCCTCACAGTGCCGTGGTGCTCGATGGCAAGATCTTTGCAACCGGAGGCATTGTCAGCAGCGAGGGGCCAGCCCTGGGCAACATGGAAGCCTACGAGCCCACAACCAACACGTGGACCCTCCTTCCCCACATGCCCTGCCCTGTGTTCAGACACGGCTGCGTCGTGATAAAGAAATACATTCAGAGCGGCTGACGTCCGGGGGACGCCCACACCAAGACTGGACGAGTCTGGTGAGGCAGATGCTCTGCACAGTGATGATCTTTCAGCAACACCAGTGAGAGGCCAATAAAACCCAATCGAGGAGCTCAGTGTGCTGGACATTTTGAATACTCTACATTGAATGTAGGAAATCATCCTCGCCTTCGGGTGACACGGGGGCACCGCGCTCAAGGCCGAGAAGCGGACCACGCCAGCCAGCGCTCGCTCACTCTCAGTGGGGACGCTCACTCTGCCCGGTGCAAGAGTTTCACATATTTTTCAACTGGGAGAGAGAAGCTGTTCTTTTCCTTCCTGCAGAGCAAGCTTGACCCCTAAACTACCATCGATCAGTTACCCTGACAATATTAAGCATCAGGCTCCTTTGGAATAAGATCAAAGTGTCCTTATCACTTTGATTCCTACTTTTGCTTTTTAATCCATCTACACTTTCAGTGGCCGTGAGAAATGAGGGACAGGACCGTGCAGTGCGAGGCCTAGGCCTAGGAGGCCGCTGTCTCTGCCAGGACCGGTGCGAGACGGGAGGCCGCACTGAGCCAGGGGTGGTGGCTGCAGGGGCCGCTGGGGAGAGGCCATCTGTCCTTCGCAGGTTTTTCTACCATGTTTTTGCTGGAGAAGGACAAGATGGTTGTGCTAGCTTTCTCTTATCCAATAGGAATTATTTAGATTTCCAAGGCATTTTCTTGATAAACAAAAGGCTATTTTTAAGTACTGAGAGAAGGCAGAGGCCAAGAGAGGGATGCTGCTGTGGGAATCCCAAAGCTCTCTGTGGGTAGTGCCAGAGGGGGCATTTGCTCTCATTTTTCTATGTGCAGAATAGAGGCTCTCTCCTGGGGTGGGCCATGCCCCGCTTTATTTTTTGAAAAAGTATCTCCCTGACAGCCCCTCTGGGACTGCACCTCAGAGGAAGGTCTGTTCTAGGAGGACACAGTTCTGGCTCCTGACCCCCGTCCAGCTCCCTCCGTGAGGGAGGGAGGGAGGACCCAGGCCAGGGGAAGGGATGGAGTGAGGGCGGGAGGAGAAATGTCTACAAAGCACAGGAGACTATTTTTGATATTTATAGCTATATATTAAGGCACCTGCCACAGGAGCTCTCAGGAGGGGGACAGCCTTCTTAGACGAGCCATGACAGCCACGGCCTGAGGGGCAAGAGCAGAACCCTACCCCGAGCAGAGGGAAGCCAGGAGGGAGCACAGGCGCAGGCTCGGAGGAGGAAGGCCTCAGCGCCGGCCCTGAGACCCTCCCACCTCACCCGGCCATCAGCTTCCATTCCAGGGCAGGAGGCAGGCTGCCGCCACCGTGCTGTTCAGTTGAAGTTGATACCAAATGCACATTTACCATTTTCCTGTCTGGGACGTGGGCTCACCATCTCTTCGTGATAAGAGCCGTCTCTAAGGACAACGAGGAGATGCTTCCCACCGTTCGGCGTCTGCTGACACGAAATTCCTAACGCCAGGCATCAACTTCTAGCACTACAAGTACGGCTCCCACTTGGACAAGATACCGAGCTTCGTTATGCAGTTTTTAATATTATTTATTATTTTAAAAAGTAATAAGCACAAAACTACATACATTGTATGTCATTTAAAGTATTTATGTCAAACAGGGTGCAAGTGTGAACCCAAGGACTGGAGCACAAATCCTAGCTGCCTGGGGCAGGGCTAACGTTAGCATTGGTGTGTGTCTGCCTCCAAGGGAGGTGCTAGTGGTCACCAAGACTCCACAGATGACACTGAAATTCCATTTCTCTCCTCATCTGTCACACTGGAGCAAAACTGGCTATTTCTGTGAATGATAAAACAGGGTTCTCTGTAATGGTATTGTACATAGTATATGTTTATTGTTAAGTTCTTGTTATATTATAATAAATATATTTATAGATCTAGACTCCCAAAGCCAATGAGATGCCTGTGTGTGCCGTCGTCTTTGCCACAGCCACCTGAAAGCCCCGTGCGGGCCTGGTCTTCCTCTCCCCTGTCAGCTGTCGGGTTCTTCTAAAGACCTCCATGCAGATTCTGGTGATGAGAAAGGACAGGACTTCCCAGCAAGGGAACAGATAGGGCTGAAAAGGAAGCCAGCAATAAAGAGCAGCAAAGGTCAGAGTTGAAAGCAACTTGCCAACACTCTGGAAGTGACTCTGAGGACGTCCCTTCCATGTAAGAGCTCCTCCTCCTCCTCCCTTGCGCTGCTTGTTTGAGTTTCACAGCTCGCTTCCCACTGGTGTCACTCCTTGCCCAGGACTCTGTCTTTATGACTGCGCCAGAATCGCACTGCAGCCCCAACCAAGAGACACACACTCCCTCCAGGAAGAACAGCGTGTGATTTCCATCCTAAAATCCAGTCAGGGTGACCTCCTTGTCTTCCTCTGCCGTGATGGGCGGCTGTCTAGCTTGTCATACAGACCACACTGCTATGCCAAGGATAACGATGCAGAAGGCCGGGTGGGCTGGTTCAGTGCGGGAGACGACACTTAGGCTTGACTGACTGGTGAGAGAAGGTAGCCACACTGGTGCTGTCGTCTTCACAAATACTCTCATGTCCTTTATCCCCAAATCTTGACCCGGACTACTGCCTCCTCGAAGGAAAAAGCCTAAAATGGGTGGCGCAGGACTGTGACAGCCCAGACGTCACAACACGAACCAACCTGAGTTGGGGAGTGAGGACTGAGAAAGGAAAGAACACTCAAGCCTGAGTGGAGACCGAGAGAAGTCTGATTCGTTTCACAGAAACAGCTCCTTTTAAAGGCACACATCAAAAGGAAGCTTTTAAGGGCACACAACAACAGGAAGCACCAAGCAATTGTTTTTATCTTATGCAAAGACCGGATTTTCTGACTCTTTACAAAGAACATCAGATCTGTGGCTGTCTCTCTGAGGTTCTCCCATTGCAGGGTCAAAAAACAAATTTAACAAGCAGAGTCCTAGAAAAGTAACAAATGTTACATAGATTATATCAATGCCTTAATTGTAGAGGAAGAAGTTTCCTTTCAAATGTCAAACGCCAGTGGGCCATGACTGGGCCCCCACACAAGACAGGTGAAAGAGGAGATCTCCTAAGAATTTGGCTGAGGCCTTGTGCTGAGTGGTGGCCCATGCAGCTATAAGACAAACAGCTGCAGTATTCCCAGGGACAGCAGTCCTAGAGGAAATGACAGAGAATGACAAGATGCCAGCCATTAAGAGCTAAAGTGGCCGGGGAGGGGATTTAGCTCAGCGGTTCAGTGGCCTGCCTTGGAAGCGCAAGGGCCCGAGTTCAATCCCCCCGGTACCAAAAAAAAAAGGAGCTAAAGCGATTGCTGGGCGTGGTGGCGCACACCTGTAAGCCCAGCATTCGGAGGCTGAGGCAGGAGGATCGCTGTGAGTTCGAGACCAGCCTGGGCATCCTGAGTTCCAGGTCAGTCTCAACTACATGGTGAGACCTTGTCTCAAAAAACAAAAAAGAGCTAAAGCGATAATCTGTGATAGAAATCAAGCAGTAGTTTTGTTAGCATCCTTCTTGTCTACCTCATTTTCCTAAATAAGGGAAGCATTCTCTAGGTCTATGGAGAATCTATGTATTTTGCACTTAACTCTGGTGGCAAATAAATTACACTTTACCATGGAAGATGTGTGTCCACTATGTTAGGAGCCCACGTAACCAAATTGAAGAAAGTTCATTTCTTTATTTAGAGTCTTTTTTTTTTTTTTTTACAGGGTCTCACTATTAGTTCAAGCTAGCCTTGAACTCACTATGTAGCCAGGCTGGCCTCAAACTCATGGCAATTCTCCTGCCTCAGCCTCCCCAGTGCTGGGATTACAGGCGTGTACTACCTCACCCAGCTCAGAAGAGAGTTCACAGTGTGTGTGTGAACCTTTTAGAACACTCATAGCCCAAATAAGAGAATATTCAGAAAAATATTTACAGCCTGTACGATAAAGAATTATCTTTATTGAAGAGTGCAGGTAACACGATAAAATATTGAGTGATTCTAATACTTAAATCGAAATAAGTATTAGACCTAAAAAGGAGGAAGCATTGCTAGTAAACATACAACAAAAAGCTCAACATCAGTAGTTATTAAATAACAATCCCAAATAATGAGACATCTTTTACGACTAAATTAGCTCCTCACACCTAAAAATAGGACAGGGGACGTCCCAAGTGCTGATGAAGAGGAGTGAGACTTACGTGGCACTGAGGCCCCACGCAGAGAGCAGTATGACAGTCACCGCCGCGTGTCAAGAGCTGAGGAGTACTCACCTGCGCTGGCAGCCCAAGGAGATAGGGAAACTGCAGAAAGATAACACCAACTGTTACAATAACAACTAGCTCCTGTTGTTGGACACTGATGATCAGCCCGCCACCATGCTAAGCACTTAACCACAGAAGCTCACCATTCTACTACATAGATACCAAACACATTTACTTGAATAGAAAAGTTATGAGAAAAAGCAAGATTCATATTTGTACATGACTGTAGTTTAAGATTATCTATCCAGAGAGCAGACATAGTTATAAAACCACTATTATACTGATGGAGTTATAGACAAATTTTCCTCATCTCAAAAATAATTTTTTTCTTGGTACAGGGGACCAAACTCAGGACCTTGTACTTGTGAGGCAGGTGCAGTGCCACTGAGCTAAAGCCCCAGCCCTCTTCTCAAAATTTTTATAAAGTGGCAACATTACTTTTATGATAAAGACGTAGAAATACTACACAAATATGGATATAAATAGAGATAGATTTTTTTTCTGGCACTGGGGATTGAACCCAGGGCCTCACACATACTAAGCACTCTACCACCGAAACACATCCTCAGCCCACATAATTATTTTTAACAGGCAGAAAGTACTCTCTTCTCTAGGTCCAGTCTGAGAAATTCTCTTTTAGGAAGATCATCATAAGCAGTGAGAAATTAGGGTTCAACATTAAGTAACCAAGGGAATTACAGTAAGAAAATAGGCTGCTATGCATAAGTGCTAAAACTCTGTAATAGGTTTCTAAGATCTTTGTGAACGTCTTCTTCAACTAAACCTTAATATTTATATAACTGCACACATACTTGATTTTATCCTCTCAACCATCCTAAAATATTCACTCTTTAAGACGTGAGGGAAACAGGCCACAGTCTGATGAAACTCTCTCCAGAAATAGAGTGGCTGCCCAGTACCCACCGGGCCATGCCTCCATGCTCCGTCCACGGTCAGCTTTGGTCCTCGGTGCGGCCTGCAGAAGGCGGCTGTCCCCAGGTACACATGAGCCCACAGGACTCCACAGGTCTGCGCTCACCACACGGGTTCCCCAAGGCTGCCCGGAGTTGCTCACCATAAACCAGGGCTCCCTCCTTCCGCCCAAGCTATCTCAGAACCTGTAATAAGAAAACAGAGACCTCTGTGAATGGCCAGGCATCCCGCTCTTTTAGAAACCGTCCTCTTTAGAAGCAGTTTTTCAAATGCCTGATAAGTGTCTCAGCTACACACAGGAGTCTTTGAAAATAGTCCACTAAGGTAAGATGTCAGAGCGACCACTGTTGCCTCGTTTGACTGCTCCTGTGAGCCTGGGTAACGATCTCTTCAGGAGTCCCTCATGACCCTGCTCCCGTCCCCAGCCTGGGAGGGCAGCGGAGGGGGACCCGCTGCCTTGGCATTTGCCCAGAATGCACCATCCTCAGCCCGTGGGGATGTCAGGCCTCTGCACTGAAGGATGGAGTGTTTCCCCAAGAGTAAGGGCAAAGACTCAGCACCACAATGGCAAAGACAAGACTTGAGATTTGCTCTTGGGGAAAGACACTAAGAGGAAGACCATGGATTTCTTTACCAAAAAAAGAATCTGAAAGCAAAACAAACACCCTCCCAAACACGTACCCAGTGAGCTGTGTGGCCGGCTCTGCCACATCTACAGGCCCTCTGGGCGTCCCCTCCCGGAAGACGGGCAGCCTCCGTGGGTCACACCAGGTCAGGAAGACGGCGCTCTCTGCAGCTGAGGACGTGTCCTCCAGCTCGAAGCACAGGACCGTCACTGGTACAGGGCCAAAGCAGACAGGCAGCATGAAAAGTACTTTGGGCTACAGAAAAGTCCAGTGCACTGCTTCAGCCATCCCCGCATCCACAGGTGACTCCAATGGTAGAGTTTAGGTAAAGGGTATTGGCCTACTCCGCGGGAACCTTCAATCTCGGTCAGTGCAAACCCGGGACCTGGAGCAGCCAGCTCCATCTCCTAAGAGCTGCGGCTCCGGGGACTCTGCACCCAGGCCAGGGAGACTCCCTCCCCGAGGCTCTTGACTTCACTCCTCCATTCCTACCGCACTGCCCAAGCCCCTGTTTATAACAAGAGCATGCTGACATTTAAGTCATGCATCGTGAAATTACCCTTCTGAAGGATCAATTCAGCGGGCTTTAGTCTCATCCCAGCCATTGCCCCTGTCCAATTACAGGATGCCTCATCTCCCCAAAAAGAAACCTGCACCCACCAGCAGTCTTTCCCCAGGGCCCCTGTTCTTCGCCTGGCAGCAACTATCCACTGTCTCTGTGCCTCTATGGATTTGCCTACAACAAGTATCTGCCATAAACACAAGCTCAGAATATGTGATCTTCTTTTTGGCCTTTTTCACTTAGCATAGTCCTCTCAACATTTATTTACTCATGGTATAAAACCTGGGGAAAAAAGATTCCCCCACGTTGTAGCATGTACTGTACAAGTCCATTCTTTTTATGGCCAAGTAATCTTCAATCCTACAGATAGATAAAATGGTATACATAAAAACAGATTCATTCTCTTTACTCATTCAGCAGCTATTAGATGTTTGGGTAGTATGAATAATAGTTATGAAAAGTTGCATACAAGGTTTTGAGACTTAATAAACTTA